TTTTGAGGTTTACTAATTAATTCCACTAGTTTTTGACATATATGAGAGTATGTAGGACAATTCTATACCTAATTAATTTAAACATTTAAACACAAAAACTATTCGGAATAAGATATCATGGGATCCAATCCTCACAAGCATTGTTTTCCATTTTACTTGCAAGGAATAAGTAACCAACAAGGAATACCTTTTTGTTTCAATATTCAGTCAAGAAAGTGTTTTGATATTCACAAAGTTAATTTGTATATTGTATCCGTACATTGTAATTATACCAAACTTGAACTTTTTTTATTTTCTTAATATTTAATAGTCTAATATATCAATAGCACATACGTACATACACACAAAAAATAAAATCACAAAAGATTTCATAACATTAATTATGAATATTCAAATTGAGTTGATTTGATGTATACCATGCATAATTTATTTCGTAAGACATCTTAAACCAATTCATGTTTTCTTCAACCCTAAAATCATTCCTAATTTGTTGCCTTGGCGCTTATAATTGCTAACTTACAATTAACTAAAGTATATGAAATAAGGTATTGTTTTAACAATAATGGAATCATCAAGTGGCCTAATTATACTGTATATGACCGAATCCATCAAACCTCTTGATAATCGGTTTTATATTTAAATCTAAATAAATAAATAAATCTTCTTCATTTAATAGAATCCACATCTAAAAGATAGAAAATGGAATTTAATTAAATTAATTTTAGATATAGGTTAAAATCGATATAATTTTTATATTCTTGTTTTATTCTGATTGTTCTTTCTATGACAAAAGTTAAAAGTGTTGAACTATTTTTTGTTAACACCAGATAAACATTTGCATTGCTTTTGTCCCTTAAAATTTGATTTTGAGATTAGGGTAAATACCATTCCATTATTTGTTGTGGTATACGACACTAGGACAATCGTAGCATATATTTAACTAATTTAAACATTCAAACACAAAGAAAATCAAAAGTAACTAAACATCAAATGTCATATTGGATTGGATCAGTCAATTTATGTAAACATGGCCAAAATAATTTTTCATACGATGAGAGCA